GGAAGCAATCCAACATTTTATAAAATACGGATAGACCTAGCTTTCGAAGAGCTTATAACATTTAAAACACGCTACGGCGCTTACAAGTGCAAGGTTCTTTTATTCGGACTGATCAATAGACTCGCCACTTACTAACGCTATATAAATAACTTCTTCTTCGACTTTTTAAACATCTTTTGTACGGCTTATTTAAACGACATCTTGATCTATTCTTTCGACCTTTTAAAGCACGCTAGCTACGTCCGCTAAGTTCTTTAACGACTCGACGACGCTAGCCTTTAAGCCGATATCAAAAAGTGCGAATTTAGCACTATTAAAGTGAAATACTTAAGCTTCATCATCTCTATCGAAAGCTTAAAAGTAGATCCGGACAAGACCTCGATAGTCGAACATTAAGCGCTCTTTACAACCGTTAAAGGCGTCTAAAGCTTCTTTAGATTTTGCAACTTCTACCGCCGATTTATTTAAGATTACGGCGTGATCGCAAAGCTTTTAATACACTTAATTAAAGCTAACGTTCTTTTTTTATTCAATTCTTAATGCTAAAAAAGCTTCGACTTTTTAAAGCTCGCTTTGATCACTGCGCTAATCTTATAGCACTATAACTAAGACCTCTCTTATATGCTAGAAACTGACGCTTCCGACGGCGTAATCGCTTTAGTCCTTTCTTAAAAGCATAATCCCGATTGGCTACCAGTCGCTTATTATTTTAAAACCATAGCTCTCGTTAAGCTCAACTACGTCGTTTACGATAAAGAGATGCTGGCTATCATACGCTCCTTTAATAACTTCCGCGCCGAACTCGCCGGCTCCTTTTACTAAGTCTAAATAATTACCGACCATAAGGCTTTAAAGTACTTTATAACCTCTAAGACTTTTAACGCTCGTCAAGCACGCTAAGCAAAGCTCTTCTTCGATTACAACTTTATTATCACGTATAAACTAAGTAAAGACAACCCGCTAGCTGACGCGCTGATACGCCGCACCGAAAAGCTCCTTTTTTAAAACAGCCTTAAGCGCACCTAGCGCTTATAAACGCTGCTTTGCGCCGATAACGTTGACTTACGACTCTTGACCGAAGAGCTACGCTAACTTACGCCTTCGAAGACCGCCGTTACTATCGAAGAGATCGCGGAGCTCTCACTGACATTCTGAGTTATTAACCAAGTCTTAAAAGCTAATCGGACCGCTTTTAATTTCACAACATTTCGAATTCAAGCTTTTAAAGCTAAGTCCTTACCCGTGAACTACGGTTCACGGGCTAAACTCATTATAAAAAGCGACTTGCTATTCTATAACGGCCGCTTATTAGTTCCCGACGTCTAAAACTTGCGCTCGTTACTCGTCCGAGAAGTCTACGACCAAGTATTTACGATACACCTTAGCTCTCGTAAAACCTATAAGCTCTTTGCAGCATAATACTATTAACACGGTATAGCCAGATTCGTCAACTAGTACTGCCGCAACTGCTACGCTTGCAAACGAGCTTTAATGCTTCGCGATAAAAAACTTAGTTTGCTCTAACTTTTCCCGATCCTTTCGCGCTTTTAAGAGCACGTTATTATAGATTTTTATAGCTTTAACAAAGACAAACACGGCTACAACAACGTCTTTATAATAATCGACCGCTTTTCTAAGCAAGCAATCTCGATCCTTTATCATAAGTCTATCGACGCTAAAAGCTTCGCTAAGCTCTATATCTATTATATCTATAAGTATTTTAAAGCTCTTTTGACGCTGACTTCTGATAAAAGACCTTAATACTGATTTGAGTTCTAAAAAGAATTTAATAAAATCTTCGGTACCAAACTAACCTTTAGCACCGCCGTACACTTTAAGACTAACGGTCAAACCGAAATCTATAACTAATACTTGCAAAAGCGCCTCCGTCCTTTCGTAAGCTACTATTAAGACGATTAGAGCGAGTTCTTCCTTATAATAGACTTCGCTTAATTAACGCTCCTTCACGACTCTTTCGGCGGCCTTTCCTTTTTTAAAGTAATTTACGGCTACGCTCTCCGGACCACCTGGAATTAAAGCTTAAAACGACTTAACGACCAAACCTTTTTTCGCAAGCTTAACTAAGACGAAGCTCGCGCTTACGCTAACCGTTACTTCGGAGCTTAGAACTTCGCTAAAAAGCACTTTTAACGCGCTTAAGACCGCATAGCTAAACAAGTTAATAAATTAAAGCGCTCGGTTGACTTCGACGTTAATGATAAAGTTTAGTTAGACATACGCTCGTTTTCTACTTTTCGACCGTTAAAGAAGCTCGATAACCCGACGAACGGACCGTTCGAAGTTACTAACAACGTTTATAATAGCTTTAAACTTAAGCTCTTCGAGTTAATAAAGGTTCACTTAATCTTTTACTTCGGACGGTTACGAAAAGCTTTTAATGACTTTACTTTCGAGCAAATCATTCTTAAACTTAACCCGATTAATATTACTAGCGAACTTAAATACGAAGTAAAAAACATCTTAATTGTACGCTAAACCAAAAAGCACTTCGAATACCGCGCTTCTTAGCTCGGCCGCGATATTAACTTTACTTAGTACTTCGCTTTCGACTTTATATACGCTCTTTTTAAAGTACGTGATTTCTATTTAAAATATAAAGAGCTCTTCGGCTTTCTCGCGAAGCTTTTCGAATAAATCAAAGCTTATTCGGACGGTATTAATAATTACGATCACTTAAGCAGTAATAAAGCAATAGATAGACGCTCGAAGACGAGCTTTTTTCGGACGAAAAGGTAGTGTGACGACACGCTAAGTCTCTTAGACGCACTTTACATGCGCTAAGCTACTTCCTTCCTTTTTTCCTTCGTATTTTTCGTATTCTCTTATTCTCCGCTTTTAACTTATAAACTATAGTTTACGAGTCTTTAGCGCTTCTACTTTCGTGTATATAGACCTCAGCTACCTTCGACCTTTACACTCGGTAGTTGTTGATTCTAAGTCATTACTTTAAGATTCTCTTAAGCTCTTATGTGAACCCCCGCGCTCCCGTGAGTTCCTTCAGGTAATCGCTTAAGGTCGTCATATAGTCTTTTATTAAAAAAGGAGCTAGAGCACAATAGAGTCTTTAGCTCGCTCGTTATATCGTAAGTAACTCGGTGAGTACTTTCGTTTTGCTTTTGTTTTAAAAGGCTTAGACTATTATACGAGACTTTTCGTATAGCGTAAGTGTTCTTTTGCTTTTGATCTTATTAACAAACTTAGATCCGAAGATCTTAGCGCTTTTAACGCGTAAGTCGGTGCTCGAGATCACTTAAAAGATGCTTTAAGCTATCAATCTAGCTAATTCCTTTGCTTTAGACTCTTGAAATGGTGCTTCGAAGCTCTTAATAATTCTTTTAACTCGTAGCTTAGCTAAGAGCTTATAGTCCCGGCGTTCTTTGTCGGTAATCAACACTTCGGAGTCTTTAGTAAATAGAACGTAAGAATCGCTTTCTTTTTCGTCGAGTACGGTCGAGATATTAAGATCGTACTTCTAGTAAAGTATCTAAACTATTAGTATTATTGACTTTTAAAGATTAGCAAGTTAAGGGTTAAAAGGGCTGTTTGTTAGTCTTGGCGAGCTTCTTGGATTAAGCGACTTCGGTAGATTAAGCGAATATTAAGGTTTAAGCGAATTTCGTATTTCTAGCTCTTTTTCGCTTTCGCTCTAATTATCTTTTACCTTTTCTTCTACCTCTTTTTCCGCTTTTATTTTAAGTACTTGCAACTCTTTTAGCAGCTTTTTAACTTTAAAGTAATAAGGTTTTATTAAGGTTGACTTAAATTCCGTAGGCTTCGGATAAGCTATTATGCACGTATGCCTTTGCTTGCTAAGCAGCTGAAAAGGGCCTTTCTACTTTTGGTTTTCCCGTTATACGAGCATTCGTAAGCTAATAAAGAGGTTTAAGATATGCTTCGTAATTGGGCTATTCCTCTTTTTAAGCGCGTCTTTAACCTGCTTCGCAGCGTAGCATTTTCGTACTTTTCTTATAGCTTTATTAATAGCAACAATACGCTCTTGGGTAAACGCGGCAAGTCGATCTTGCTCCGTCAGCCTCGGTAAGGTCTTAAAAACGAAGAGTATAAGAACTAAGCTATTAGGTCCAGCTGTGTCGTTAATAGCTTTGATAGCTATTTGAAGCCGGTCTTCTTTTAAAGCTTTTAGAAGCTCTTTTGTGACGATCTTAAAGGCGCGTCGCACAAGGACGTAGTAGCGTTTTACTAGCCCGACGCTATGATAGGCTTTTATAAGCATCTGCTTTAAGGTGCTGCTAATACTTTTAAAGTAGTTTCGGAACGTTGCCGAATTAAAGTTGGTTCCGAGATCGTGCATTACGTTTGTAAAAGGTCCGACGTAAGTATTGACTTAATATCGACTGAATCTTTTAAGTAAGTGTTGTGCAGATATGCTTTTAAAGAAGGTAGCGGCTTGAAAATTAATAGAATCGCAAACGACGTATAATACGTTCTTGCCGTTAAAGTGCATTACGTTTACGTATACCGTATCATTAAAGTCAATATCGTCTTTGAGTTTAATATTAAACCTTTTTAAAGAGCGTTCGAATACTTAGCAATAGTAGCAAAACTTTTAGATATTATAAAGCAAATCTCGCTTAAATTCGTGCCCGGCTCTTTTAAGAATAGCAGCAAATCGATTTGCTAAAAGGTGGCTAAAACGCTTGTAGATAGTCTTTAATTGTTCTTTCGTAAAGTAATAATAAACGGTTTCGCTTTTGATATTATAATAAGTAGTAGCGTGCTCTTTACTTAGTAGCACTCACACGTGCTTAAACATCTTTACTATTAGTATTTCTTTTTTCTTTTAGATTAGCACGTTTCGTAAGTTATTTAAGATCATTTTGTGCTTGTTTATATCAATTAATAAGAATAAAAAAGGTACGTCGCTTTTTATAACGTAGAACTTTACTTGATCTAAAGAGGTATTTAAAGTAACTGCTTTAATAAAAGTAGCAAAGCCGATACTATATTTAACGGACTTTTTCTTTGCTCGAGATGTATTTAATTAAACTTCGAAGTACTTCTTTTAAAGTGCTCGTAGCTGAGGCAAGCTAGCGGTAAAGAAATTAGCTGCTCCGCTATTAATTATAAAGCTTATAAATACGTTTTCGGAGTACTTAAAAGCTATGTAAGTCTTTGCTTTGCTCGCGGGCACGTTTTAAGTCTCGATTTAGCTAATAAAAGCGTGGAATGCCGTTTGAATTTTTAGTTGTTTGTATACTTCGTTAGCGTTAAAAGTGCTATAAGTAATCACAAAACCTTTCGATATATTAGCGTAACTGCTCGATTCGAGCGGCTCGTTTAGTAAGCTTGCGATAAACTGATCGAATTCTTCCGTAGATATAAGTAGCAAGCTTTTAATCGATATTACGTATTAAAAGAATTTGTTTTTCGTTACTCTTTTTACGTCTTTAAAAGCTTAGAACTTAGCGACGGATGCTTTTCTTTCGTCGGAGGTATAGTTAGTGCTTTAGCAACTTAGCTTTTTGCAAACAAAACACTTTTTTTCACTTTTAATAACTTTAGCAGCTTTTTTACTTCCGAAGTATTAGCGGTCTTGAATAAAGCATTCGTATTCTTCGTCTAAATCGGAGTTAGCTTTTAAAGTGTTATAAGAGCAAGTGTAATCGTGTAGCTCGCTAAAGCTTGCGTAAGCTTTAGCTTTAGCGGGAGGTCGAAAGGTCTTAATTGCAAAAGCAATTGCTCGACGAATATTAGTAATTGCTACGGTAAAAGTAAAAGCAAGATTCATTCGTGCAATCGTAGTCTTTAATACGTTTTTATAAGCTGAATACAGCTTGTTAGCAAGACTTCGATCATCTTTTAAACTTGGTCGTAAAGAGCTTTAAATGCCCTTGAGCTTTTTAGCGAGCTTTTTAAAGCATTCGCTAAGCGAGGTTCTTAGATTCTTTTTCTTAATTAAATCTAACGAAATTTCTTTTTAGCGGTCGTATTTTGCTTGCCGCCGGTAATCAGTCTCGAAGTAGTCTTTTATCGCAATAGCGTTTGCTTTAAACGTAAGAAGCTTAGCCTTGATTATATGATTATAATAGAAAGTTATAGCCTTTTTCGTAAGCATAATTAAGAACGCCGCTAAATAGTCGTCGGAGGTCAAACCGTATCGATTTGCTTAATTAATAAAAATCTTTAATTGAGTTCTGAAGTCATCGTCGGGTCTTAAGTACTTTAGCTCTTTAAGAAAGCTTTGCGCGAACAAAGCTAATTCTTTCGCTTTTAAGTAAAGGTCTGTTGTTCTTAGCTTAAGGAAATCGTCTTTATTATCGTCAAAAGCGCTTAAAGTGCCGTACGCAAGCGTGCCGTGCTTAACTAGTAGTCGGATCGGTAAAAGGTTATTAATATAATTGCTAGTTGTGGGTCTTACTTTTTTAAGGTCCTTAAGAAGCTTATTTTCGGATCCGAAGTCCTTTGGAAGTTCGTTGCCGAATCTCTTTAGTAGCTTAAAAAGGCCGTTCTTACTCTCTTTATACTCGTAGCCTCGATCTTTTTGCTAATCTCTTTCGTTCTTTCTTCGTCGGCTATCGTCAAGATCTTTAAAGCTATTCGAGTCATCGGCTAAAGCTTTAGCTTAATGATATCCGTATCTTTAAGCTTGCTTTTAGCGATTCTTATACCTTTGATCTCTCTTTTGTTGATACGTAGCTTTTTAAGAGATATAAGTAGCTTGCCGGTACGTTCGAGAGTATTAGATCTCTTTTTCGAGTTGCTAAAGCTAAGCACGGAAATCTGTACGCTGTCTTTAGTAAGAGTTGATTTTGTCCGGAATGCTCTTAAGTTTTAGCGGGTCTTCTTTTAGCGTATAGCTTTCGTAGCTTCGAGTGTTGTCTAGTCCGATAATGATCTTAAGACTATTTTTATTGCTACTCGGTCTTGGCTTATCGAAAATTCGATTATAGCTTTTAACAAAAGGGTTTTAAAGCTGTTAAAGTGATTTTGGCTCTTCTTGTATGATTAGCGTATTGCGTAGCGATTGATAAGATTGATAAATTAAAGACGAGTACGCTAAAATGCTTCGTCGTAGCCTTTCGTTAGATTATATAGCGTAAGTCCGTAATTCTGCTATTTGCTTTGTTATTACTTTTATATTTTACTTTATATCTTTCTTTTCTTTCGCAAATTCTTCGCGTAACCTCCGAATCTTTTCCTTTTCTTCTTTTTCCTTCTTTTTTAGACTTCGTAAGAGTAGTAAAGGTGGTTGAAGCGTATTATCTTCGTCGTCCGTAAGGTTTTTAACGGTCCACTTTAAATCGAAGCTTAAAAGTGTTGCTTATTGCTTTTTTATTTCTTAGAAGGTCTATTAGTATTACTGCTCGTCGTTCAAAAGCTTGACCATCTTATTAGCGTAGCCCTTTTGCTTTAAAGGGCACTATACGCTTTTGGACAGCAAGTGTTTTTTAAAGCTAATAAAAGTAGCAAACTTAAGGCCTTGTCTCGTATTATCCTTCGTTATCGTAAAACTCGTTTAATCCTAGCGTAAGAAAGCGTACCGGAATAAGCTTTATAAGTCGTAATCCCTTAGCCTTTTACACTTCGCATTTAAGAAGTCTTTTATTATTGCTTGAGCCGTAATCTTATTATCGGGCCTTGCGTATAATAGCTCGTTTAAGTCAAATGAGATGCTCGACATTTTATCGTCTAGTCTTTCCGAGAGGCTTAAGAATCTTAAGTATAGTAGTCCTTTTAGCTGAATAGCTAAAGGTTCCGTAAGTAGTGATAAGACTCGAAAGGTATAATACTTTATTGCTTCTTATCGGCTAAACTCTTTACTTGAAAGTCCGGTTGCTTGATCGGCCATAGTAATTGTTTGCTCGTACGTAAATCGATCGTGTTAGTTAAGTTTGCTATATGTAGCAAGCGCGGCTCTACAGCTTTGAAAGTTGTATAAAAGTGATTTAGTTCGGAATCACTTTTCCGTAAGAATAAAGAAAGTCGATAGTATAAGAAGCGACTTAATACAGAATCGCTTTTCCGTTATAAAAAGAAAGAGGTATCGTAATAAAAGGTATCTTCGCTATAGAGTCTTAGCTTCTTTGTGATTGATCACTTAATAGTAATTCAATCATTGATCAGTGTTAGATTGCTTTTAAGCGATTAAGAATATATATTCGTAAGGTCGTAACGGTCGTTAAAGTACTTGCAATTGCAAAACACTCGGTTGATAAGGTATCTGAATTCTGTCTGCTCCTTAAGGCTCAAGGGAACTGATTCTTTTTATACGATTAAAAGGAATCACGTGCACTAGCTAGTTAATAGGTTTACTTGTCAAGTTAAGGGTCCTTTGACTATTGACATGCTAAGCGAAGCATGCTAAGTGGCCCGTGAACCATGGTTCACGGGTAAGCTTCCCCAACTACTACTACTACTACTACTACTAGCTAAGGTCGATATGGATATACCGACACTTTGCTTTGCTTTGCTTTGCTTTGCTTTGCTTTGCTTTGCTTTGCTTTATTAAAAAAAGTTCGAGAAAATGATCTTGCTAAGTTCGCGGACGCTTCGTATTTAATCGACTTTTAAATATTTATAAAAAAAAAGGCTTTTGAATTAAATAAAATTTATTAGCTTGCATTTAAATTAATAAAAACGACGAAGATAACAAGAAAATAAATATTTATCTTCGTTTTCTTTAATAAAAACAATATTTGTCGGTATATCCATATCGACCTTAG